CCTGCACAAGGGACCTGCACTAGGGACCTGCACAAGGGACCCTGCTCCCACTGTCCCCCTCAAGCGCCAGCAGAACCCGGGGGTTACATGCACCCCAAACCAGGCAGGGACATGGGCCCCCAGGGCACTCTCCCCTGCACCAGGTCTTGGTGTGCAAACGGGTAGCTCTGCTCTCTGCCCATAGAGCAGGTTTTCCATAAAATGCTGAAGGAATTAGCAGTTCTAGCTGGATCCTCGGTGACATGTCTCCTATCTCTCTCCTCGCCCCCACCAGGCTGCCCGTGGTCACCCCAGCAGCAGCAGCAGCACCAAATATTTTTAGTCCAAGGGAGGTGTGAATGCCAGGAGAAGACTTCTGGAGCCCCCCAGAGCACTGAGAAACAGCCAAGAGGAGACAAGGTGTGTCCAAATTTCCCTTTGGACATAGTCAGGATATTCCACTACTCCTACTCCCTTTTTACCTTCAGAGGCTGGACTCAACCTCCAGCACTCTCAGCTGCAGAGATGAAGGGCTATTTCCTGCATAGCTCACCCTGCCTTGGGAAGAGGGACCCATTCTACTTACCAGTTCCAGTTTCCCATCCTTGAGCCGGATATGGGGATCCAGTGCTACTTTTGGTTTGGCGCCTGAAGCTGCTTTGTGATTAGATGCTGAAGCAGGTGCTGAAAAATCAAATATAAATTTTAATGGGGGAGCATTTGGTAGAAGAAAGTGGTGTCTGCAAAGCAAACTTAGAATTCTGATTATATGAAATATTATGTGTGTGCAGCAGGACAAAAATCAAAGTTCAGGATTTATTAAATCCGGTTCTGAAAGGCTGAACTAGGTCACTCTTGGAAAGATAGGATATTGGGGCAAACCCTTCTGAAACTGGGCTTCTGCATGGTTTAAAATGGGATGTTTCATCCAAGGACCTTGGACTGCAAAAATAGCACTTTGGAAATTTCCAGTCACAGAGTTTTGTGGAGTCTTGGGGCCTGCAGTTGTGGTGAGCTGTGAAAAAAAAAGAATTAAACAAAATCTGCCTGGTTCTCATCTGCTCTAACTGATTAAGCAAAACTGAAGCAATTCATGACACCCATGGGAATGGACAGATTAAAAGCAATGTGGAAAAACACCACTGCAAGATTTTTTCCCTCTTCAAGACTGCAAAAATCCTTTAGCCCTTTTCCCCTCTGTTGGGCAGGCAGAGTTTTTTGGGTAGAAGGAGCCACATGCATGGTGAGGTGGCCACAAAGGGAGAAAGAGGCAGAAAGAGCAGCTGCTGTGCTGGGGAAAAGCTGTTGTGAGCTGGAAGATCCAGCTGGCTCAGCACTGCCAGCACTGCTGCACAGCTGAAAGGGTCCAGAGCGAAGCCCTGCCCCTCCACCCCTGGAGGGATCCTCACCTTTTCCATTATGATTAGCCCTTGTCTGTAAGGAACCAGGATATTCCCTGGGAAAGCACTGCAGAAGGCATTGCCTGCTGGGGACAACCCACCAGAGTCCAGAAAGGTGCAGGGTTGCTGTGCCTGCCCCTGCCCACCCTCAAACCCTCAGCCCAGGTGATAAACTCCTTCTCATGCCAGTGGCCCGAGATCTGCCCAGGAAGCAATTCCTTTTGTCTGCCTGGGATCTGATTAACACCATGGGAAGCCCCTCTTTGCCAAGTAACTCCACTCCTCTGGAATCTCTGGAGCACTTCTCCCCAACCCCTCCTGACCATCAGGGCAGGGCCCAGTGCAAGGGGAAGGAGAAGCAGAGGTGCTGCACAAATGTAATCCTCCTGATCCAGAGATCCATCTACTCTGCCAGAGCTGGGAGCAGCAAGAGGTAACAACTGTGTTTGCTGGACTGGCCACCAACACTTCCCTCTCCAAGTTCAAGGGTGGAGCCAGCACCCTTCTCAGCTTGGCTAATCAGGATTAGCTCTGGGTGGCTTTGCTGTCAGCCCTGGACACGGAGATATCCAGGCCATCCACCAGGCACCCAGAGACAGGCAGGCACTGGCCCAGGCTCCAAGCCTGGCTGCTGCTCTTTCAAAGCCAGTTGTCTGTTTTCATGGGTGGCAACACTGACACGAAGCCTCCTCAGCATTTCACAGTAAAAACCTGGTGGGATCAATCTCCCAGCTAAGTCAGGCAGTGATTAGGTCACTGCTATTGCTGGATTGCTCTGTCCCCACTCCTGGCAGTGCTGGCTGTCCAGGCTGAGAGCCCACCTGACACCTGCAGGACCCTCAGAGCAAGGAGGACAGAGCAAATCCCTGTCCCAGGGCCTCTCCAGAGGAGCATGGAAGGCAGAGCTGGAGCCATGAGTTGCCAGAGGTGGCACAGGCACCCCTGGAAGCAGAGCTGGCACACACCCAGCCCAGCACCGGCTGCTCACCACCAATCCCAGGTATGGACTAAACACGATTCACCTCCAGTGCTTGCTCTCAGCCTTCCAGATGGGAATTACAACAAGGCACAGGGATTTGTAAGCACAGGCAGTGCCCTGGCAGCGCGTGGGGAAGGATTTGAGGCTGCAAGAAGGATGGGCAGCACTTGCTGGAGCCTCACTGGGAAAGCCCATCTTTGCCTCGGGGCAGGACAACATTCCTGTCACAGAGATGTGGGGTGTCTTGGTGGAGGTTGTCTCCCTGGGCTCTGGGTCACAGAGGTTATGGAGGTTTCCTGCCATTCCTAAGGGATCTGGGAAGCTGCAGGGTGATTTGACTTCACCTCCACTGCTGCCACCCTGTTGGGTGAAGAGTCGGTCTCTCCATAATAGGTAAGAGCTCAGTAGACCCAGAGCAGGGAGAAAAAACACAGCATGGAAAATAAGCAAAAAGTGAAGTTTGGATGTAGAGAGGAGTCTGATTTAGTCACATCTAGAAGCCATTTCCCAGTTTGGCCGACGGAGGGCATCCTTACTGCCTGTTCAGCGCCAGGGTTGGTGTGTATGTCACCACTGTCACTGACTGCCTGGTGTTACACTGTGTGTCCGAGGACCCCTCGTTCCCGTCAGAGGGAATGTGACCTGTGATGGGACCTGCTGAATGTCTGACATGGGCAAAGGCACTGCTGCAAATGAACCAAAGGCTGAGAGGGGAAGAATTTGTGTCCTGTGAATACCTCAGTCCTCGAATGCCTTAGTAAAGAGTTTTGCTACTTTGGGCAAACATGGACATAGTTACTACTCGTTGAGTATGCCAAGCTGCTGCCTTCCCTCTCTCTGAGCAGGTTGAGTCTCATTATCACCCCATTAAATTCCACTACAGCCGTATAAACACTGATAAAAAAATGTAGTGATAGGACAAGGAGGAATGGCTTTAAACTGCCAGAGGGCAAGGATAGATGGGATATTGGGAAGGAATTTTTCCCTGTGAGGGTGGGGAGACCCTGGCACAGCTTGCCCAGAGAAGCTGTGGCTGACCCTGGATCCCTGGAAATGTCCAAGGCCAGGTTGGACGGGGCTTGGAGCAACCTGGGCTGGTGGAAGGTGTCCCTGCCCATGGCAGGGGGTGGGACTGGATGAGCTTTAAATTCCCTTCCAACCCAAACTAGTCTGAGATTCTGTGATTTTGTAATTTCATCATCCTGAGGTTGAGGAGCCACAGCTGTTTGTCCCACACAAAAGGAGAATGTTTGACAGGACTCTTACCTGAGACCGTAAGCTCTGGTGGGCAAATGTCCGGTGACAAAGAAGGCACAGGAAAAGGATTTTCACGTCTATTCTAGAAAAACAAGACAAAATAGCACAGACAGTCACTAAGAAGAATCTGCTGGTGTTAATACAGAGCAGAAGATTGAGGTGTTCAAGAGAGAGCCACCCAGCTGGCCCATGAAGGCACCACATGTGCAGATGGGCCAAAAGAGACTCTGGGGGTTTCTCTGGGAGCATCTGGTACAGGAATGTTCCTGGGCCATCCCAAGACTTCTGGTCACACACAAACAAATCTTTCCTTAATGTAACTGTGATTGAGAGCTGATGCTGAATTTGGCCTCGTCTGGTTTCTGCACAGAGGTTCTTCCTAAAGCTCTGTGTCCAACCCACCAGCGAGGTCCTGAGTAGTCTGACCACAGCAGGTGTAATATTTACCCCAAACACAAAACTACCACAGTGAGCTGTGGGTAAAGGATCCAACCATACCACTCAGCTACAGCTCTAGGGCCTGCTGCTGCTTTTCATAAGCACTTCCCAGCCTGGTGCACCCAAGAGAAACACGCAGATGACATTTGTGCAAGTCTGTGTCTCCACAGGGCTGGAAAGAGATGTTTTGTGAATGATCTTGTATGAAAGGAACATCCAGCTGGCCTCTTCCTTTTGCCAAAAAAACCCACTCTTTCTCACTGTTTGCCTGCTTTTGCATTCAGACTGTACTTGTGAGTAAGAATTGTGTCTCAGATCTATCAAGGTTACAGTAAAATGAAATAAAATTGGACTTTCCAAAGGAAATGTGTGGTTGTCACTTATGTCCACAGGTAGAAAATATTCTGGATGTCTGGAAAACAGGGGATTAAGGAGTTTGGTCCCAGAACGTTAATCATTTTTCTTTAAAGGGGTTTTGTTATTTTGCTCACAGCCAAACAGACCTGAGGGAAAGGAACTTCTAAAGGAAGCTTCTGAGGGAGAGGGCAGGGGGTACACCCAGCACGGCACCAGCCCAGGAGAGGAGCAACAAGTGCACAGAATCCAGACAGAGACCTAAAGAATCGTGAGGATTGTGTGTCCAAGCACACACAGCTGGAGCACTTTTCTCTGCCAACCCAACATGGAGCTCGGCCTCCCAGGGGGAATGAGCCTGGCTTATCATTAGAGCAGTCAGGAGCAGCAATGGGCTGCGTAGGAACGCTCTGGATCCATCCTCATCAGAGGGCTCGAAGAATAAAGGGTTGTTCCTGCCTTTGGGTAGGAGCCAGCCTAGATCAAACTGACTCCAGAGATCCCTTCCAGCTCTATGACTGGAGTGGAATGAGATGCAGGTTGCTATCCACAGAAGGGTTTTGTTTTTGAAAACCTGAGACTCCTGGAACAGGTCTGAATGCAGGCCCTGGAGATGAAATTCCTCTCATTACCTCCACAGATCTTGTCTCAAACCCAAGAGAGAAGAAATGATTTCAGATTTAAAATACCTGCCTGTAAAACAGGGCCACGTGTATCAGCATTACAGACTTTCCACTGTCCCAAAATATTGCCAGGGAGTCCCTAAAGACGAGTTTTCTGATCAAAGAAAGGTCACAGGATCTGTGCTGTGAGATATGAACTTCAACCTACCTCTGGGGACCTCACGTGGACCTTGAGCCTGCAGGAGCTCAGGCCATTTCCCACAGCCTTCGGAGGTGGTGATGGGATGTTGTTGTGCACTGACAGTCCAGGATGTAACCGTCCCCTTCCAGGAATAAAGGCCACTTCTGTGCTTCCCTCGTGTCTTAAACAAACAGCAAATACAGGACATCTTATTAGTAAAACATAAGGTACAAAGCTGAAGAACTTCCATGCTCTGGTTCTGTCTCCAGGGTAATCTCACTTAAGCCCATGCAGCCTCCACCAGTGCAGCTGGATCTGCACCAGCTGTGTTCCATAGATTCATAGGATCATGGAATCGTTAAGGTTGGAAAACACCTCTAAGATCATCAGGTCCAACCCTTAATCCAGCACTGCCAAGGCCACCACTAAACCATGTCCCCAAGTGCCACATTTACATGTTTTTTGAACACTGACAGGGATGGTGATTCCACTACTGCCCTGGGCAGCCCGTGCCAGGGCTTTACAACCCTTTCCATGAAGAAATTTTTCCTCATATCCAATCTAAACCTCCCCTGGCACAACTTGAGGCCTTTGTGTCTTGTTCCATCAGCTGTTACTTGGGAGAAGACACCGACATCCACCTGGTCCCACCCTCCTTTACAGATCAATAAGGTCTCTCCTGAGCCTCCTTTTTTATGGTTCTTTGAACTTCAGTTCTGTTGCAGAACTCTGCTGGGCAGTGATAGGAGATATTCACGAGGTCCAGAACATTGGGAAGGTCTGGATTACACTTCAGGATGACCCATGCCTTCAAGATTTCCTTATGTGACCACCTATCAGGACCATCTCGAAGCATCATTTAAGACTAATGATGCTCTTGAAGACAAATGTGACATAAAGGGTTTCTGCCTAAGACTCAACAGCACCCTGATGATGACAACAGGAAATATATTCTATGCTTACCTGAATTTGGCTTTTTCAATTATTTTTCTGGCCTCTTCATGTGTGCTGCCCACCAAAGAATCTCTGTTGATGGCGATTAGTTGGTCACCAGGTCGGAGCCGACCATCCTAAACAAACAGGTAGAAAGACACAGCGTTGGGAAGGAATATCTCTGCCCAAAGCCTTCTCCTGCAACACAAATCCTCATTAGCCTGTGCAGTGCATTGTCCATTTACTCTTAGAAAAGCTGTTTCAGAACAGCTCCAGCCTCCAGGAGAAGTCCCCAGAGGCCACCAAGGGTCTCCACGCTGACTTACCTTGTAACAGTCACCATCTGGCAAAAGCTCTTGGACATAAATCATGGGCCCATCAGGCCTGTTAGATCCACCACTGATTGTCAGCCCCAGGCCGGAGGAGTTTGCTATGGAAATGCTCTGGATTCCTGAGTCAATGGAGCAGCTGCAAGGGAGAGACGTTCGCAGGTGACTCGAGGTGAGCTGGGTTATTTTCCCATGTCACTGAACAAACTCTGTCTGGATTTCTTCCCGTGCATGATCCTTCTACCTTCTCCCAACCTTTTCCCTGCATCCTTTCTTCCACCCAGCCTTGGAGGGAGGAGATGAGTTGGAAAGAGGCTCTTGTTCCTTGGCAGACACTGTTCAGCATTATGAAGGGGACTGGTTCACATAATCCCAAATACCAGGGAATACTCACAGAACCACGGAATATTCTCAGTTGGAAGGGACCCACAAGGATCATCAAGTCCAACTCTTAAATGAATGGCCCATACAGGGATCAAACCCACGACCTTGGTGTTATCAGCACCATGTTCTGACCAACTGAGCTCATCTCAGGGTTAAAATAGAGAAGAAACTAAAGGTTTAACTAGAATAGGTTTGGCACTCCTGGTTTTTATAGCTAAAAGCACACAAAGGATCAACATGGTTATTGCTTGAATCCAGCTAAATCACCAGACAGCAGTTTATAGATCGGTCAAGTATTAAGCAGTTCTTAGGAAACATCCAAGGGAAGCTTGGGATACACAGCTGAGTGTGTCTAAACTGAGGTTTGGAACTCAAAATCTTGGAATATTCCCTAAGAAATGGTCATCCTTTGCAGCAACACCCACTACACTGTGAGTGCTGCTGTGGCAGGGGGAGAGATGGCTCTCCCAGTGAAGGATGTAAATGGAGCAGCAACCAGGTGGGACCTTTCCCTCCAAGAGTGACCAGACAGGATCCAACAGGCCACCAAGACACGGCCACAGCAGGTCAGGGGTTGGGGGAGCAGAGATTTCACTGACCTGTGATGGGCTGGTGGGCACCACTGCAACAGGGAGGTTTGGGGAAGGATTTGGTGGGGTCTAAGAGTCAGCAAACAGTTTTCTCCAAATGAGATGGGTGCAGCTGGCTTTTCACCTTTTCCATTTATTTCCCTAGCAGCCAATCCCCAAACAATCTGAACTTTCTGGTCCTGCTGATGTTGTCTCATAACTTAAGACACAATGACAGCTGTGCATCCTGTGCCCCACAGTGACACCAGTGTGTCACCACCCCGTGCTCCCCAGTGATGCTATTCCTGGAGGTCAGAGACTGCATTGAAAGGGGTGCATGTGCCTTATTCTTATGAAAAAGTGCTTTAAGGTAAATGATTTTACGAAAATGATGTCATGAAATAACAGCATTAAAACCTCCACTCAAATCAAAATATCAGACACTGTGGTGACTCTGAACTGTATCTGAGTCCTGCTGCTCAGTGGGGTGGCAGGGCCTCAGGTGACAGCACTGGACAGCCCGGGCAGAAGGGATGGCAGCCATGTGCATGAAAAGACCCATGGACCAAATTACACCTCTCAGCTGACCACCAGCACTCAGCTGCAATCAGAGATCTGTGATTCCAGAAGACCACTGGGGCCTGGCACTGGCATGGAGACAAGCAGAACATGGCACAGCAGGGCAGTGCTGAGTGAGGAGGCCACCAAAGCAGGCCCTCTCTAGCCTATGTGCCCATTTCCCTGCTCATTGCAGGGTGGTTGGAATGAGATGATCTTTAAGGTGCCTTCCAACCCAAGCCATTCTGGGCTTCTGTATCTCAGCCTGGGGTGGGTTCACAGCACAGGAAGGATGGTTTGTCCAAACCAACTGCCAGGTAGATAATCTGGCCTCTCCTCTGTGTGGGTCTCTCACTCCATGCAAGGAGCTTAAACCTCTGGTGCCAAATATTTGTCCTCTACAAATCCCTAATAAGCTGGTATTTAGCAAGAGGATTTACTGGTTCTGCAGTGAGGGCTGATTCTCTTTACCAGCAACTTGGCTTGTTTACGCTGGCAGAGGGAGGGAAGCTGCAAGCCCTGGGCACAAGTGGTCCCCATTCCACAACTGTGAACACCCTCTGAGCTGTCCCTCTGGAGAAGGACAACCCTGAGTGCCCCGGAGATGAGACTCTGCAGAAAGACAAGCTCTGCCTGTCCAAACCTCTGAGCTGTGGAATGTGAAGGGGACAGATAACCACATGAAAACACTCGCTCCAGGAGATGCTCTGGAGACCAAAGCAGGTGGTGACTCTTGGCAACCACTGTTGACCCCAAAGCAAACGGCGTCGGGAATGTTTGCCTGGAGAGGTGCTTGTGTTCTTAGTACACGGGGTCAACGTGTCAGAAGCAGGGCAATAGGAAACAAGATCCCAAAACACCTCCTGAAAGCACCACTGGCCTTGCAGGAACACTCTGCTCATGGCATGTTTTGTAAAGGTGATGTGCAGGGTCCTCTCAGCTGGCTGTAAATCAGGGATCCTTTCCCTGGGATCTGGAGGGGATGAAGAGGAGCTGTTGCATAGTTAACCATAGTGCAGATATATTGACTGCCTCAACTGGGAAGCTTTTCAGCTCTTGAGCACAAACTTCCCAGGAACAGCCAAGATGCCACCACGCCATCTAGAAGATGCTGTGATCTCCCAGCCATTGGTGATAAATCAGTGAAGAGGACATAAGGAGGAACAAAGCTGTTCTCCAAGCACTGGAATTACTTTCTGGCTCTAAGGCAGTGTCAGACACTCAGTGGTGTCCCCATGGCCCACCAGGGCCGGGCTGTGTGGGGCCAGCCCCGGAACAGGTACGTACTGTGCGTGAGGGGCGTGCGCCGCGTTCCCGAGGCAGGGCCCGTGGGAGTTGGCAGGACTCAGCAGCAGCGGGCTCTGGGAGCGCGAGGAGGAGCCCGAGGATGTGCTTTCCAGGTATCGACCTGAACAGCAAAGTCCGAGTCAGTCCAGGGCACACAAACCCAGCATCACCCTCCTCCCCTGCTCTGCCTCTGAGAGCTCTCACTGTATTCCTGTCTTTTTTGGGAAAATCACGTGTTTGTTAAAATCATCAGGATATGGCTTATGGGAGAGGAAATATTCAGCCCCCTCAGCACAGTTTCAGAATGTCACCCCACTGGCAGCCCTACATACCCCTGCCATAGGGGAAGGGTTGGCAGCTGGCTGGTGGGATGCCAAGTCAGAGAGACAGCTTCCTTCCCCATGCACACATGGATTTGTGTGCTGGCACCTCACTTACATCAACCCTTTTCCACCTCATTAAACATTTCCCATTTGTAAATAAAAAATAGTGATGGTTGAATGAATTATTGCTGAGATGCTTTGAAATCCAGAGCAGAAAGCTAAAGCTGTCCCTGCAGAGATGGGTACTGGTGGAGTCACCTGCACGACACATCAGTTAAGCAGAGTCTGGGGATCTGGGGAGTGATCACAATCCCAACTCAAGTATCCCTTGTTCCCTCTGAGGAGGTGGCTTGTTGCCTTGCTCCACGCTTGCCCTGTGTTGGCCACCCTGCTCTGCACCTGGGCTTGGAATAAGGATGAGCTTCCTTCAAACCTCCACCCAAACACCTGCCCAAATCCAATCCCAACTCCTTCAGAATTACACTGGGACAAAGGAAACTCTCTTTGGTTCCCCCCAAGCACACCCTGAGTTACTCACTGCCGCCGTGCAGGACCGGCGAGCTCCGCGCCGAGCCCGTGTTGCTCTGGGAGCCAAACTTCTCCAGCAACTCGGAGAATTCCCTCCTGGAAACAACAACATGGTGAAGTCAGCTGCTGCTCAAGATTATCCCCCACCCGATTACCTGGCAGTGGTGCCTCTGGTGGCAGTGACTTAGTACCAAGTCTGCAGGGCCGTGCCCTCCAGCAGTGGGGAGCAGACAGGGCTGCCTTGTGCACAAGGGGAACACCCTGGTTTCAGGAGCTTGTGCAAGGCTTCAGGTCTGTAATCAATCTCATGGCACAGCAGCTTTCCTGCAATGGGCTGGAGCTTCAGTGTGATCCTTCCCTGCCCCGGAATGTGTTCAGGGTGAACTTGGGCAAGAGGAGCTGGGAAGGGATTTATTCTTAAAGGTCTTTTCCAACCGGAATGATTCTGTGATCCTACGGACAGGCTCTGGTGTTGAGGACTGTCATTCCTGAGAGAGGGTAGATGGACATTGGAGCCCTGCCTTGCATCCCACTTGGCACCCCTGCCTTGCACCCAACCTCATGGAGCCTCCCAGGAATCAGGCAAAATATTTTCACCCCCAACTATCGGGCTCAAAATTCTGGAATCACACACCACACAAATTAAACAGACTGTCAGAAGGAGCTGTAACTGTGCAAACATAGAACAAAAAGGCTTGGCTTGTTTGTGACTCTTTCTAGAACAGTTACATAAAGATTATTCTCTGGTTTTTACTCCTCCTTCCGGGACAGAAGGCAGATCCTTCTAGCTCTTGCTGGAGTGAAGGTAGGATGTGGCTTTCTGGAGCACGTGCAGAAGCAGCCACCAACTCTCTGAATCCATCCATGGTGATGCCCTCTATGAACATCTCCGATGAAGCTCTTGGAGCATAACACCTTAACAAAGACCTGCACACAATGTCATCCAGAAAACCCCCTAGAGAGCTGGCTCCATGCTCAGGCACCTCCTTAATGCTCTGTTCCTGGTGGAGTTTGACCACCGTGTAATTATCCAAGCCCTTGATGAGCTGTAACGACCTGTACACCACAGGTGAATTGCTTTGTGGCCTTCCCTTTGCCACGTGTGACATCTGGGGTTTGTAAACCCCACTGAGAACCACCATTATCCATGTTTACCAGCTCCTGCCTCATTTCTGAAACCTTTCTTTGAGCTGCCGTGAGCCTCTCACACCCATTTGGATGAGGAGACATGGAGAGGGATGACACCATCATGTTGATCTTCAGCAGCCTCCTGATCCATCCCAGTCACATTGGTTCTTTGCTCCCAGGAACATCTGTCCCTCTGCAACGGGGGGTTCCTCTCCTTTCATAACCCAACCTTTATAACCCCACCCTACCTGATCAATCCAACCTTTGGCAGAGAGCAGAGCCTCAAGGATGACTAATTTCTTACACATGCCAATAAATAAGCAGCCAGGCAGTGGGAGAGACCCTGAAAGTGTTGTTTCTGTGGCCACAGCAGCACCATTAGATGTCCTCTTTGAAGGCATGAGGGAATCCCCATGGGAAGGTGCCTTCCTGATGCTATAGCCCCAGGAAAAGCCTGGGTATGAGTGGCTCGCTCTCAGGCTTGACAGTCAGACAAGCTCAAGACATAAACCTGTAGGAAAGCAGCCACAGCAAAGTTCCCTGAGCAAGGAGACAGCTCTCACACACACGCAGACGCTGTGTCATCTGCGTTCTTCACCGGGACACAGGTTATATATTATTGGCTAGATTAGAGTCAACAATATTAAATGATGAATGAATCATCAGCTCCTTGGGTTCCTACTGGAAATGCTCTCAGTAATTTACATCTTCCCAGTAACAACCAGTTCATTAACAAACTTCAAAGACCAGTGCATGCCTTATCTAATATTGCCATCAAATTTATGCCTTATTCATTCCATCTAATGCTAATTTAAAACCCAAGTGTCACACAATGCTCAGTGACATGCCTTGGTGAATCCCAATATTTGCATTGACACTATTGTCTTTATCAATTAAACCCATGACCTTAAAAAAAGACAATTACTTTGTTCAGAAACCCCACCTCCCACAGAGCTGTTTTAGTTTTCACCTCTTGGGCACAAACTTCCTGGGAACAGTCAAGATGCCACCACAGCATCTTCCAGGTGCTGTGGTCTCCAGCCATTGGAGTGATAGAACAGTATGAAGGATATAAGGATGATCAAAGCCATTCTCTAAGCACCGTAATTATTTATTGGATCTACCCCACAGAAAATGTTAGACATGTGGTGATGTTTTCATGACCCACCATGTGTTGGGCCAGCCCTGTGTGACCTGTACATACTGTGCTTGAGGGGTGTCAAGTTTCATGAAGTTGGACACCAAAATATATATAAAATATTAGGAAAAAATTCTTCACTACAAGGATGTCAGGCACTGGAACAGCCCAAGGAAGTGGTGGAGTCACCATCCCTGGAAATGTTCAAAAAACGTGTGGATGTGGCACTTGGGGATGTGGTTTAGTGGTGGCCTTGGCAGTGCTGGGGGAATGGTTGGTCTGGAAGATTTCAGAGGGCTTTTCCAACCTGAATGATTCCACAAGCACTGGGAAAGTGGAAGGGCAACTCAGCTCCTACAGCAGTAGGACAGTGGTTGCTGTTCTGTGATTCCCTGGGCTGAGCCTTGGGTGGATCTTACCTTAGCAGAATTTTTCCACTTTCCAGCAAAGCTGCTGTGTTTCTACAGGTGATTCACCCCAGTTTCACTGGTCACTCACTCAGCCATGGCTTTACCCCTCTCTGACCCAGTGCAGGGGCAGGTCAAACACCTGCTGTATTATTTCCAGTGGCTCCCAAGCCTTCGGCAGCTGAGTTGTGTTTTGGGCTGGGTATTTCTGTGGTCACCTATTGTTACATTTTCCTCAGATAATAATCCATCAGAGCACAGAACAGGTTATGAACCTAAAACAATGGCTAAAATAGTCTTAGTCAATGCAAATGTGACTCGTCCAGCAGCTCTTGTGCTCCTCCAGCCCTGCGAGCCCGGTCAGGGATCCGAGCTGTCCAGCGCTGCTCTCAGCCAGGACACACACGGCCTGAGCACCCTTTGTTGTTGTTTATTCTGTGCTGTTCAGTTCCTCCACAAAGGAGTATTTAGCATTGTTTGCTCAGGAGCCTGAACAACGAGCTGGGAGCCCAGGGCTGCCCCTTGAGCCCGGGTCCAGCCCAGCACAATGTGACTAAATGCTACGTCACGCGCCACCGTCCCAGCCCCGGCTTTGTTGGTCACTGCTGCAAGTCTCAGTTCCAGCAGGGACATAAACACATGACTAACTCGAGGCACACACTTATCCCAGCAGGAAGCAATACACTTTCTGGTGTCAATCTCCTGGGAATTAATTTTGTGCTCAGTGCTGTGTTTGGAGGAGTTTGCAAACAGGCAGACAGTGCCCAAACATTGCTGAGTGATGAACACGCACACTGAGGGAATGCCAGCTTTGTGCTTTCAGACACCAAGACACTTCAGATGTCTTTAATATTTAAAATTTGACCCTTGCTAAAACATTGTGAATTGTCAGGTGCCTGCAGGACTAAAATGCCCAGCTTTATTAAAAAACAACAACCATGGCGTTCTATTAGGTGGAAAGTTCATTTTAACAAGCCTTCTCCAGCTTTTTTTCATTAGGATGCAAACATTAGAGGTCTGGAGGATGCCTGTAACAGAGCTCTGTCCCACACAGCCTTCAGGATGCCGGGGTCTGCCAGCACAGCCAGCTGGAGGGTGACTTTGCTACAGATTAAGCAGCAGGGGGTCAATCTTTTCTCAGAAGATATTGTTGTTTTATCTCATAATGCCTCTTTGTCCTGCCCTTTTGTTCTTGGGAGAACAAAGGGTGAATCCTACATCAAAGGTTATGAGCACATAGCGTCTGGAAACCTCAGCTGGGAGAGAAAGTGGAGCCTGTGACATCAGAAATTAATAGTTTGCCTCAAAAAAACCAAACCTGCAGATGAGTGGGAGCCATGAACCCAAAGCACTGCAAAAGCGTCACAAAAGCAGATTTTCTCACATGCAGATCACAGCGACAGTGGGATCAAGGGCACCCTCAGCCAGTTTGGAGCTGAACAGAGCTGTGTGGTGAGGTCACACACTGCAGGGAAGGGATGGGGCATCCAGAGGGACCTGGACAGGCTGGAGAGGTGAGACTGTGTGAACCTTATGTAGATCCACAAGGCCAAGTGCAAAATACTGCACCTGGGTCAGGGCAATGCCAGGCACAAATCCAGACTGGGCAGAGAATGGATGGAGAGCAGTTCTGGGAGAAGAATCTGGTGATGCTGGTGGGTGAGGGGCTGGACATGCCCTGGCTGTGTGTGCTGGGACCCAGAAACCCCCCATACCCTGGGCTGATCCCACAGCGTGGGCAGCAGGGGAGGGGGGATTCTGCCCCTCTGCCCCCTCAAGCGAGACCCCCCTGCAGAGCTGCCTCCAGATATGGGGGAACCAACAGCACAAGGAAGAGGAGCTGCTGGAGAGAGTCCAGAGGAGGCCATGGAGATGCTCCAAGGGCTGGAGCCCCTCTGCTCTGGAGCCAGGCTGGGAGAGCTGGGGGGGTTCACCTGGAGAAGAGAAGGCTCCAGGGAGACCTGAGAGCCCCTTCCAGGGCCTAAAGGGGCTCCAGGAGAGCTGGGGAGGGAATTGGGACAAGGACCTGGAGGAACAGGCCAAGGGGGAATGGCTTCCCACTGCCAGAGGGCAGGGTTAGATGGGATGTTGGGAAGGAATTGTTGTCTGTGAGGGTGGGGAGGCCCTGGCACAGGTTGCCCAGAGAAGCTGTGGCTGCCCCTGGATCCCTGGAAGTGTCCAAGGCCAGGTTGGATGGGGCTTGGAGCAACCTGGGCTAGTGGAAGGTGTCCCTGCCCATGGCAGGGGGTTGGAATGGGTCTTGAAGATCCCTTCCCACCCAAAGCATTCCATCATTTCCACCACTGGCAGGGTGGGATGGAAGCAGTGACATGCACAGGTGCATCTCAGCTGCTGTGTAAAAGGATGTGTGTTTTTCCCAAAGCACAGCCAATGTCCTCAGCACTCCCAGGCTTGCTGGAGTCAGTCCCAGCCCTCCCTGCCAGTTTAGCACCAAGTGGTCAGACCAACAACCCAAAGGCCACACCTCAAGTCTTGTATCCAATTCTGGGCCCCTCACAACAAGAGAGACACTGAGAGGCTGGAGCATGTCCAGAGGAGGGAAGGGAGCTGGGGAAGGGGCTGGAGCAGCAGGAGCAGCTGAGGGAGCTGGGGGGGCTCAACCTGGAGAAAAGGAGGCTCAGGGGGGACCTTCTGGCTCTGCAACTCTGACAGGAGGGGGAAGCTGGAGGGGAGTCAGGCTCTGCTCCCAGGGAACAAGGGACAGGAGGAGAGGAAATGGCCTCCAGCTGTGCCAGGGGAGGGTCAGGTTGGACATCAGGAGGAATTTCTTGACTGAAAGGGTGGCCAAGCATTGGAATGGGGTGCCCAGGGAGTGGTGGAGTCAAGAAATGACTGGATATGGCACTCAGTGCTCTGGTCTGGTTGACAAGATGGCCATAGTCAAAGGTTGGATTTGATGAGCTCAGAGGTCTTTTCCAACCTTAATGATTCTGTGATTCTTTTCCTGCCTGTTGCTTAGGCACTTGCAGAGAAGCTGCCACTTTCCTTGCTGCTCCTTGTGGGAGCCCTGTTAATCCCCAGCCCCTGTTCCCCGAGATGACACTGCAGAGACATGACATATTTAGCATTTTATCATGCAAGGACAAGGAGGTGCAGCTCAAACTGTCTTTCTCACAGTGATAAACCTGAAAGACCAGGATGATATCTGTGCAGTGCAGAGAAACAGGGACCTATTGTAACTCCCAGGCTGAGAATGAATAAACAATAATTATGTATATGCAATAAAATTATCCTCATTAGCTGAAGGTGAGCACAGGCAAAAATTGGAGCTAACCATCCCCCAAACCCAGCATGTCCAGCTCCAAATCTGAATGTTCTGCTTTAAGCCCTGGCATTGCTGCCCCTCTGTGCAGCAGGGCTGATGCGACAGGCTGAAAACATGCATCTGATACATGCCAGGCCTGAGTTCCATGAAAAGCACAGGTAATTTGGGCCTATAATTAACTCCAGGGACAAATAATAGCATTTATGAGTCAAATTCACCCGAGGGCAACCACAACAAAATGCTACTCAGCTGAGTCATGGGGAAAATTGGCAGGCAGGTTGGATCGTCGTCCAAACCCAGAGCCATGACGTTCCCTCCTCTGTGCACTCTGAGTTTCTGAAGGATCTGAAAATACACTGATTTATGGTCCTCCCTGTGTCCTTCTCAGCTTTCAGGTCTCGTGAGCTGCTTTGCTGGGCAGTGGGAAGGTTTAAGGTTGCCCACAACTCATGACGTGGCACCTCCGGGGGCATCACCTCCAGAGCTGAGCCCATTTCAACCCGGCTGTCTGCTCACCCACACTCAAGGATAGACTTAAAAGATAACAGGGCATCAATAAAAGACAAAACTAAGGGGGGAAAAAAAAAGCAGAGAGCAGAAAAATCCTTCCCCCTGTTCCCACAGCCCTTAATCCTGGAGATATGTATTCGTGTATTAAACAGTTTGTGAGATGATTATGTAAGTGAAATCTCTGCAAATCTTTTAAAAAAAAAATAAATAAACTGATTACTTTTCCCCCTCTCCCTCTGGCTAACCTTTTGCAGATTTAACAGATAACCAACAGCAAACGGAGGCCAAATAAATTGCTTAAAGTTTCCTTGCCCTGCCGGCCTCCCCCGGGTCCGGGCAGGGCGATTGGGGACTGCGGCAGCTGCAGGGGGAGCCGGAGCGGCCGGCAAAGCCACGCGTGCGTGTGCTCGGAGAACATCTGCTGCAGTTTAGGGTATTAGCAGCCACAGCGAGATGCCCGAACAGCTCGGAACAGAGCAGGGTGAAGGCAGAAAACCTGCTCGGGGCCTCTGGTTGAGAAATGAAGTATTGCTGGAGCAAGTGCTGCTGCTGAGGGATGGATGCTCCTGCTGGGAGGGGTGGGATCCTGTCCCCGAGAGGCACCCACTGCCACTTCCCAGGGGAAGTGCTGTGGTACAGAACTGCATCCTGAGCATCCTTACTCAGGCCAGAAGTGACCTGCTTGCTTCACCCAGCACTTCCTCAGCAGCTGCTGAAGGACTTGCACTTAATAGAATAATTGGAGATGTTATTTCCAGTGGAAGAGGGTGGGTAAAAATCAGCCCGTCATTAATAGCAAATAATTCTTCCACCAGTGTATTGCTGTGTCAGAATTAGTCTCACCTCTGTCATTACAGCACTCTCACTCTCCTGTCAAGGCAGGAACTCTCCACAGCAACTGATGGATAAAGAACGAATCCATCACCTCCACCCTAACGGGATGTGGGTACATTGAGCAGGTGCCTCTGTACCCTCCAGCCACCCACAGATGGTGCAAAGCCCTGGTCCAGCAGCCTGTGGGCCCACAGCCACGCTCTGCTGAAACCCACCCTCATTTCCGTGGCTCCTGGTGCACCTCAGCTTTCCAGACCTGTGTTTCTATTCCAGGGAGAGGATGTGCCACCACATTGTGCCAGATCTTCCAGGCAATGCAAGGAAAGACGCTGCTGATCCTATATGTTGGTTCCCATAGCCCTGCCCTCTCTCTTGGGACCATCATTGTCCCACACAGCCTAAATCCAGCCAAGACAAGACTGAACTCTTTCCTTCTGCTTTTGAATCCTCCAAGCCTCTCCAGAAAAAGTAAGGTTTTCCAGGGAGCAACAAGGGGAGAAATTTCAGGGAGAGGAATCCTCTGGACAAGGAAGATCTTAACGTGTCCAACTGGAAAGGAAAAGGAAGATCCTGCTGTCCCTGTACATCTTCATCGAAAGCTCTGAAGGACATGATAAACCACAGGCAGCTCATCACCACACAGCAGAGCTGGGGGAGCTGTGCCACCCTACAGCCAAGGCTGGAGCTGCCCTGGTCCTCCCTGGAAAAAGGCCTGTGGAAATCTGCTCAGCTGTGGAATGTCCCACAGACCCAGCACGGTCAGGGCTGGAGCTGGGAGCTTCCCTTCCAGTTACAGCTCCATTGTGTTCCCACCAGCAGAGTTACCAAAGACCCTGGGCCATCTCAGTGGCCACCTCAGCCACCACTCCAGGGCACTCTGGTTGTGGTGCCAGCGAGTGCCACGATGCCCCTGCCCAGTGTGACATGACCCCCTCACCACCCCCTCACCACCCCCTCACCACCCCCTCACCACCCC